CCCCCTCCCTCTTCCCTATAAATAACAAAATGTTCACATTCTTGTCCTTTTCCACTATCCTATTACTCAAGTAGGGACTAACAATGGATGTCATTTTGTTGTAACCTTGAACATAAAGAGGGAGAAATTTGGAAAAGATTCCAGTAATTCTTTAACATAGAAGAGAAGGGTATAACGACGCCGACCCAGTTAAATCTCATTAGTGGGGTCTGGGGAGGGTAGTGTATACACAGAACTTACCCCTACTCCAAGGGGGTAGAAAGGCTGTTTCCGAGAGACTCTCGGCTCAAGAAGACGAAAAGAGGCAATATATTAGTATCCTCAAAAGAAACCATGAAACAAATAACAGTATCACCAGAATTAGAAAATAGATGAACAACAAAACAATAATCAGTAGATACAACCTGGCACTAAAAGGAACGAAAAAGTAGTGTGACTCAACATTAACCCCTAACCGTCTAGGACATAGAAGAGAAGGGTATTTTGATGAAATGGAATGTTGATAATAACTATAAGTAGTCGTTTGGTACGATGGATAAACAAAAATAATTCTGGGATAATATATTAGTATCCTTTATTCTTTGTTTGGTTACTAATCCTAGAATAAATTATTTCTGGATTAAAAATTATTGGGATAATTTATACCTGACAGGATAAAACAGTAAAATTGATAATTCCGTAATTAATACAACATACCATACAGTTAATAAGAAATAATATCAAGATACCTAATCCAAGCATAACTAATCCCAATATAGTTAATTTTCAAACCATATGACCCCTAATGGTGAAGTTATAAGTTTTCCTCATAATAATAATAAAATTGTTATATTCTACTTACTATATAGTAAAATCACCTTATTGAATAGATTTTATTGTTATAGAGAATAAAGTTTATTGACTCTTTTTAAAAAAATATTTGATGCACTACTTATGCTGAAAGAATTGACAAGACTAAAAGCAATTGACCGTGTAATCAAAAGACACAGAATGTGCTTTCTTTAGTAATCCCAAGAAAATAAGGTTAGAAAGTTAGGCAGCTTCTTGTCCCTTCACCATTGTTGAAAATAATCTAAAAAAGTAAGAAGTGAGGTGAGTGAGAAAGCATATTCCTTTGGACAACAAATTGTCTAAAATATTTTAGTAAATTAAATTTTTAAAAAGCATCTGAATGATGTATTGAGGAAAAAAGTGAGGTTTGTAGTTGGTGGATTATAGTGGAGTTATAATATTTCTTTAATGGCATCATCAATTATGTGAAATATTTCTTTAATAGCATAATCAATTCTGTCAAACTAAGGAATTTTCAATTTCCAATAACTCTCTTTGCTAGATTACAAAAATGGGAATATCACTTAAAAATCTTCCTCTTTATTCTTAAGTGGCCATTGATTAGCTTTTTAACCAATGGTTCTTTCTTGTTTGAAAATATTGCCTCCCACAATAAGTTTTGCTTTTGACTGCTTGGCACTTACCATTCCATTATATTTTAGGTCAATTATTCTTGTCGTTAGCATATTATCTCGTATTTATCTTTAATTTTAATGAAACTCTAACGTGAATTAAAAATTTTATGTGTCAAAATCAAAGAAAACGGTCCAAATTTATCTTTCTACTTTAGATTATGGTTTGCCATTATCTTCTATTATATTTCAGGTAAAATTCTATTAAGGTTAAGAGTAATTACGAGACAATTGTTAACGTCAAGGATAAAGTGACCTAAAGTTAGATGTGTTTTTTTTTTATTTAATTTATTCATGCCTTTTTGATCTTCAAAACGTAAAAATAGCACGGTATAGTCAGTTTTCGAATTGGTCATTCAAAAATAGCCAGCGTTTACGAAGTCAATAAAAAGTAGCCACTATTTTGCTGCAACAGAGATCGGTCCAGCATAATATACTGGAGTTCGGTGCACCTGTGTATGAACTCCAGCATATTATGCTGGATCGGTATACTTTGCCGACTCCAGTATAATCTACTGGAGACTGGAGCACCGGTGCTCCAAACTCCAGTATATTATACTAGATAATTATACTTGCTGGAACTCCAGTATATTATGCTGGAACTCCATTCTAGCATACTTATCCTGGAACTCCAGTATAATATGTTGGAGTTCAAGCATACTTATGCTGGAACTTCAGTATAATATACTGGCATATTTTTCGGGTTTCGAATAGTGTTTTCGCTCAGATTTATCTTTATATGAAAAGTGGCTAAATTTCGATTATTTTTGAAACTGGGCTATTTTTGAACGACCAGTTGTAAATCTGGCTATTTTTGAATTTCCCTAGCTAGGGAGAAATTCAAAAATAACCAGATTTATAAGTGGTCATTCAAAAATAGTCACAGTTTCAAAAGTCATCGGAATTTAGCCACTTTTCATGTAAAGATAAATCTGAACGAAAACACTGTTCAAAATCCGAAAAATACTCTAGCATAATATACTAAAATTCCAGTATATTATACTGGAGCCAACAAAGTATATCGGTCCAGCATAATATGCTGGAAGTTCATACACAGGTGCACCGAACTCTAGTATATTATGCTGGATCGGTCTTTGTTGCAGCAAAATAGTGGCTATTTTTCAATGAGTTGACAAACGTTGACTATTTTTGAATGACCAATCCGAAAACTGGTTAGCCCGTGCTATTTTTACCCTTAGCTAGACTTAAATATGAGGCTAGAGCCCACATAATTTAGGTGAAATTTTTTCATTCTATAAGATATATTTGTTTTCACCCTTTAAGATTCATCTCATTTTGGAACTATTTTGGTTGTTTCAATGGAAAGGTGAGACAAGTATAGTCCCACTTCTGCAATAGGTTTTGGAAGCTAACTGTAGAAAAGGGTATGGGGATGAAGTCACAATGTGGAGATTTGTGCTCATCTGGTAATCATGAACAGTACTAAGGTCAGATATTGTCTTCCTTCACCGCAAAAAAATAAAATAAAATAAATTGCGCTAATAGTATAAAAGAATTTTATATTATTATGTTAACTTAAGAAGATAACTATATGCGCGCGATCGCCTATAATAAGCGAAACTAATTATCTGAAAAATAAGGTCAACAATATTTTAAAATTGATTAAATTTCACAAGACAATGTGATTTTCTTAATATTTTCAATGTGGATAAGTTAAGTCTCTTGCTGAAATGCAATGTAAGATTGCATACAATAGATTCTTGTGGTCCGACTTTTTTTCGAATTTCACGCATAGTAAAAACTTAATGAACTGGAATGTGCCCTAATGTGGATAAGTAACTCCCAAATGAACCTCTTTCATTATGTGAATTCTATTTAAAGAATACAATTCAATGTTGCTTTCTTGAAGTCTGCTAGTGTCATTGTAGCAACACATGCAATATATTGCACAAATTACATGTGCCCTCTTACAAAGAGCTGCCATATAGTTTGGATTGTGTTGTGGTGTGTGCAATGGTCATAAGCAATTAATGTTTGTTACCTGATTTGAAATGACAGCCTTCCAATTTTCCCTTTTCAATTGTTTTCAAACAAAAGTTATTGCTCCTGAAATGGCCTTTGACCCCATTGCATAGAATGTTATCAGTGGAGGCACAAAACATCTCTCGTTCACACACGGTCTAAAGAGGAATCGTAGTATCGTATCCTACGGATATGATATAAATAATCTTTCTAAATGCAAGTATTAGTGGTTGCTTTCACGGCTCGAACCCGTGACCTATAAATCACGCGAAAACAACTTTATTGTTACCCCAACACTCCCCTTCATAGGACGTTACTTGCCGTAGCCCAAAAAATTACAAAAGTATTGATACTTTTTAGGAGGAACTTTTAACTTTTGACTCTTACTAATTCTATAAACAGAACTTCAAGATCAAAAGTTAAAAATGTTGCTCATGGGGCAAGTGAGAGCCAAGACTTGTTAAACTTGAAATTCCGCCCGTGACAAATGAAGATAACATCCACTTTGAGGGCTATTTGTGTACTTCACCCGCCATGGCCTACACATACGATCATATGGTGATTAATTATTTGTTCCTTATGTGAAGAAATTAATTAACCTTGGTCTAGAGCCACAAGCTTAAATTTGAAATACTGCCTTGTTTTGGGAAAATGAAACTATATAGCCGCTCTAAAAAGAAAATAGCCGAATATATATATATATATATATATATATATATATATATATACATACATACATTCTGTATGTTAATATATATATATTATACAAATATATATATATTAAACATGAGTGTTATTCTCTCAACAGCAATTGAAACCAGAAAAATATTATCTTGGATTGAACAGGTTTATAGATCCGTCTCATATTAAACAGCTTAGAAGTTTTCATAAATTATAATTCCTCTTTCTAATTATGTAGAACAAGAGTGTAATTGCACATGAAATGATACAAATCTGAAGTGAAAAGCCAAATTTACTTAAGTTTCATTCTTTCTTGATCAATACCAAAACCTAAGTAGAGTACTGCCCAACCCCAAGATTACAATGGGCACCAAAAACTGAAGAAGCTTTACAATATTTGGCCTAGATGACTTGCCTTGCCGATTAATTTTAGGTAGTTTTGGAAGCAAATATGTTGATGAAATTGTGGTTGTAGAAACAGTAGTTTTTGTAGAAGGATCAATTTCTCCTACATAGAATTCATCTAACATTAATCTTGCTGCACTGCCATGTCCTGCTTCTTCAAACTCTTCACTTGCATCCTTGCCTAAAATCAATTTTTTATAGAAAAGAACAAATATGAAGCTAGCGTTTGGATATAAATTTAGTTGAAACTTGAAAAAAATAAAAATAAAAATTAAGATGAGATTAAAAATGATTTTTTAAAGTTAAAATTGTGTTTGGACATATATTTTACTTGAAAAGAATTTAAAGTTTTGTCAGTAGAAAACTTTAGAAACTACTCTAGAACTATTTTTGGGATTAGAAGATTTTGTTTTCAAAATCTGCCAAAAAGGGTTTAAATCTATAAACAAATAGATTTTTGAAATAAAATTTGAAAAAAGCTCCCAGATTTTATGGCCAGACGAGAACGAAAAAAGATAGATTTTTACAATGAATTTATAACTTAGAAAATGAAAATTGGCACAAAATATAGAAACATGACTGTCAGGGTATATATATGAATATAGTTTTATTTTTGTGCACGGATAATGTAAAAGCTTCCATGCCGAAAGTATGTCGGAAACAACATCTTTATCTTACATAAGATAGGGATAAAGTCTGTGTATAGACCCCATTTGTGCGATCACACTAAGTATTTTATTGTTGTTATTATTGGATAATGCAAAAGATTTCACATTGTCACCTCATTTAACATATAAATACATAATTACCATAATAAGTTAAACAAGTTAATCTCAACTCACTATTTGAAGTCCTAAACTAAAGCACTTAATAAGTTATACTCATTTCTTTAGTTTACAATAATATAGATTGAAATAAATGTGTAGAGTAATTTTAATCCAATTTGTAGTAATAATTGTTTAAAAAGGAATATTAAGTTGTACACGTTGAGTTATGACCTATTATATATGGCAACATAAATTTAACTTCAATGATTGAGCAAATTATAAACAAGTTGAGTTATTATCAGATTCTCTTTTATGTGACTTGTTTTGGTTCACCTAATACTTTTTACAACAATTTCTATACCTGCTGCTGCCAACAAAACTTCATCACCACCAGGATGATCATTTAGGAAGTTCGTCACATTATATGCCTGCGTAAGTAATAGGGGAAGTTACATATTTCGCCGTTTGATCAAACATAATTTATATATATATATACTGGCTATAATTTTTTAGAATAGCTATACAGTGTAATTTTTCGCAAGTAATTCAGCCTCTTAATTTCTTAAACTTACATTACACTGTAATATATTTCACTTTTTTATAGTCTATTATGCCCGGTCTTTAATTTATATTAAAATAGTACTTAGGAGTAATTTTTTCTACATATCAAATTTCTCAACTAGCCTTTTAAGCAACAATTAGTTTTGGTTGGCTCCTTTATGTAAATCATGCTACCCCTTCTTGATAAATTAACTCGCCCAGAAAGATTGATGAAAGTATACATTTCACTATGTTCTAAGCTAGATATCTTATTTAATTTGCTATTCCGCTAATCAAATTACTTAGTTATCCATACTAAAACATTTTAAAATGTAAAGCTGCATATCATAACACTTTTACGTGATTTCTGAATATGCAAATCTATTATAAAAAACGTAATTAAGGGTGGCAATTCGAGCCCAAACTCATCCAACCTACCCAACCCGTCCAGAAATTAATGAGTTGGGCTACAAACATTTTAGCTCATGGGTATATTTGGGTTGAGCCCAAGTTAACCCATTATTTCTTATAGCCTATTCTGACCCATGAAGTAACCCAAATACAATCCATGAAGCTCACCCAAAACAAATGGATCCCAACTTATCTAGAAATTTACTTAGTTGCCCCATCATTAATTTTTGTATCTAAGTTTAAAAATGAGAATCAAGGTATTTAAGTTTTAGGGTATGTTTGGTATGACGGAAAATATTTTCGTTTTTCTGCACCAACCTCCCCCACACACAATTTTTTTTTACTTTTTTTTTTATTTACAATTTTCTATTTTATGTTTTTTCGTTTTTCTACACCACCCACTCCACCGCCACCCAAATTTTTTTTTACTTTTTTTTATGTATTTTAATTTTTCTGTTTTTCGTTTTTCTACACCACCCACGCACCCCAACCCCTCCACCCCACCACACTCGCAAAATATTTTTCAACTTACACATTTTAAATACTAATTTGTTATTTAAAAAAATGTATTTTGATTCTAAAAATACTAAGTATTTATATTTATCTTTTATAGTGTATAAAAGGTAAAAGACTTTGTTTATGCAAGATGAGTATATTCTAAAATATAGGTCAAGTTGGGCGGTTGGGTTATGGCCCATTGTTTAGCCCATCTTGACCCGACCCATCTTAGCCCAAGTACACTTTGAGTTGTGTTGGACAATGACCCATTTATTGACCTAACCCATCTTGGTTCGCCCAAATTCAGCCGGACCCACCCATTTGCTACCCCTAAACGTAATCATATCAGAATTTTGCTAGAATGGAGCCTTGGAGCAATGGTGAAGTTGTCTACATGTGACTTATAGGTCACGGGTTCGAGTCGTGGAAACAACCACTTATACTTGCATTAGGGTAGGCTGTCTACATCACACCCTCTTGGAGTGCAACCCTTTCCCAGATCCCACGTAAATACGAGATACTGTATACACCGGGCTGCTCCAATAAAATATATAACTTGAAATAGAGAGAGTACGTATAATTTAACCTAGTTTTTTTGGCTACAAAATGGAAAATTTTCATTAGACCCAAGGGGGAATTAGAAAGGGTAAAAAAGTGAAGGTTCTCTACTTACCTTAGCATTGATAATTATCCAACAATCATCTGGACAATTATGCAAAGAAACTTCACCATATGTTTTCAAAACATTCTTATCAGCTCCCATAACTTCGTATCCCTTCAATCTTTCCTTTCTCTTCTGTTTCGAATGTTATTTCTTCAATTACTATATAGAAAGGAAAACTGAAACTGTGGCATAATTATTCAAATAAACAAGTATTATTTAGTACTACTATTTAATAATTATTTCTTTTTGTACCGGGAAAATGATATGTCCATTTACTTTAATGTTATGTTCTATTCAAGTGATAATTACTATTTTGTCATATTGCCTGGATCAGAAAAGGTGATGTGTAATGGGGTCAAAATGAATAGCTGAAATAATAAAGTCTTGACTATTAAAATTAGCATCGCACTGTTTTGGCTACATTTGTAATAGGGTATCTGACTATCTGCAAACTTAGATGCTGTTTCGTGGCTTGCAGTAGATAAAAATATTCATATTAAACTATATCACTTTATCATAGTTTGGTAATAATAAGGTGACAATATATATTAATTAACAATGATTAGGGGAGAGAAGTCTATTAAGAAACACATATTATGTATCTATTAATTTGATATAAATACTAGGCATATATGAGTTTTTTCGATATATTATGTTCTTATTTGAATTTTGTTTAACTGGCACGAGATACACATGAAGCACGTACCGAAGGATCACTAATAGTTAAATGCACCAATCTTCTTTTCATTTGTATACACTTTAAATATATTATAACTAACTAATACTATGTTTTATACAATTAAGATTCTTTTTAAAATATTTATATTGTCCTTAATTGTGGTATTATAAGTAATGAGGGACAAGATAATATTTCTAAAATATCTTTACTACATATAATTATCAACAGGAGTTTGGAATCGCACCCATTGGTCACTTTTCGGTCCTTTTTTTAAAAATATAGTCTCTAACTCTATCACGGAGTTCTAAATTTGACAGGCCAAATTCAACAATACCTATTTTTACAGAAGCTGAAAAGGTGAAAATAGCACGGCCTAGTCAATTTTCGGATCGGTAATCGCAAAATAGCTAGTGTTTGTAAAGTTATTAAAAAATAGTCACAGTTTTGCTGAAACACAAAAACTTTCAGCATAATATACTGGATTATGGTGCTCCTGTGTATAAACTTCCAGCATATTATGTTGAATACGTTGGATTATGGAGCTCCTCCATTTAAACTTTCCGCATATTATGTTGGAACTCCATCACATTATAAAATTCCAGCATATTATACTAGAATCTCATATGTAAAAAATTCAAACTTCAGCATATTATGCTAGAATTTTTCCGTATTTTTAAGGGTATTTTTGTTCAGATTATATCCGTACATGAAAAAAATGACTAAATTTCGATTACTTTTGAAACTGTTGCTATTTTTCAATTGCCAGTTGTAAATATGACTATTTCTGATTTTTTTCCCCCTCTGAAAAGTGGTTATTTGTGAAATTTACCCCAATTTATGAGCCCATTGATGATCATCCAATTCCGATTCTAATGGGCCAAAAACAAAAACCCGAAGCACGGACTCACGGCCCATTTAGACCCAACCCGCGCCCCATCAAAAGCCTAGCTTTTCCCCCATTTCTTCACAGCAGCACCTAGGTTTTGCACAGAGACACAAGGTGACTCTGCGTGTGTGCGTGTGTGAGTGAGAGAGAAGATGGTATCAGGTTCAGGAATCTGCGCAAAGAGGACGGTGGTGGATGCGCGCCACCATATGCTGGGAAGGCTGGCCTCAATCTTAGCCAAAGAGCTACTCAATGGGCAGAGAGTTGTGGTTGTTAGGTGCGAAGAGATATGTCTCTCCGGTGGACTTGTAAGACAGAAAATGAAGTACCTTAGATTCCTTCGTAAAAGAATGAACACTAAACCCTCTCATGGTCCCATCCATTTTCGTGCTCCTTCTAAAATCCTTTGGCGTACCATTCGTGGGTATGCTTTAAATCTCATTCTTTTCGTACCTTTTGGTTTTCGATAGCTATTGTGTTGATACATCGTTTAGAGAGTACCCATTTTAAGTTCTATGGGCTGATGGTGTAAAATATAAATCTCTTGATGAGCATTAATTGGTAAAAGGACAGCCCGATGCTTAAAGCATCCTGCAATGGGAAGCGCTGCACCCCGAGGGGTGTGATGTAATTTGGTAAAAATGGTAGCTAACTTGCTATAAGTTGATTAAAATTCACTAATAGTACCTTTACATTGTCGGTGTTTATAACTTAAATCCTTATTTTAGATGAAGTATGTCTATGCTACTGGTTGTAAGAAGAGATATTTTGAAAGGGAATTATGTAGTATTATCTCGTGTTAGAGAACCTTGAGTTTATACTAAAAAGGCCAAATATTTGAGTATTGGAATGAAGCAAGTGCCAAAAGAAGCTTAATTGGCATAATGTCACTGAATCCAGGCAGCATGGATTTAAGGCAAAGCTGTTGCAGTTGGTCCAACTAGCTAGTATATAAGGCATATCTGTTACAGTTGTGATATACTTTTTTATATGAACAATGTAGTACTCTTTCCGGACTGTAATATTTGGCGCACCCATTAATAAAATCAAGGCAGCCCGGTACACTAAGCTCCTGCTATATGCAGGGTCCGGGGAAGGCCTGGACCATAAGGGTCTATTGTACGTAGTCTTACCCTGTATTTCTGCAAGAGGCTGTTTCCACGGCTCAAACCTGTGACCTCCTGGTCACATGGCAACAACTTTACCAGTTACATTAATGCTTCCATTCAATAAAATCAGTTAATAGCTTTAGTTAATGAAAGAAGCGAGGATTCATATGGCTAACTCCAACTTGTTTGGGACTGAGGCGTATTAGTGGTTGTTATTATTGCAATAATATTAGTTAAGAAGGTTATTTGACTAAATTATCCTAATTTACTCATTGGAAAATATAAAGAAGTATTGAAAGACTTTTTAGAAATTTGCTCAATTCATTGTTAGAGACAAGGGTAAATTTAGGGAAAAAGTTAATTCTCCAAATTTACCCTTGTCTAGTAAATGTTTTGAACAAATTTCTAAGAAGTTTTTTGATATATCTTCACATTTTCTTATGAGTATATTAAGTTAATTTAGTCAAATAACTCCCTAATAGTTGATGCACGGCACCACATGCTGGGAAGGCTGCCCTCAATATTGGCCAAGAAATGTTGAATGCACAGCGAGTCGTGGTTGTTAGGTTCGAAGAGATATGTCTCTCCGGTGGACTTGTATGACTGAAAATGATGTACCTTAGGCTCCTTCGTAAAAGAATGAACACTAAACCCTCTCATGGTCCCATCCATTTTCGTGCTCCTTCTAAAATCCTTTGGCGTTCCATCTGTGATATGCTTTTATTTCATTCTTGATGTACCTTTTTTTAAAAACTATTGTGTTGCTACAATCTGCATTGTTTAGGAAGTACCCATTTTAAGCTTTTGCATTGACGATTTAAAAATATTTACACCATAGTTAATTACTGTAAATCCTTGATAAACATTAAGTGATAATTCGATAAAAGTGTATCAAAGATTAGAAGTCAATCATTGCACCATTAGGGTATATAACTTAAATTCTTTGCTGATAGCGTTTATTATGGTTTTATTTTAGGAATATTAGCTCTATGTACTGATATTTTTAGTACTAATATTTAAGCAATTAGGTTAATTATTAGGTAATTACAAGTAAATCTCTGGATGAACATTAATTCATAATATGGTAAAAATTGTAACTAAATTTTCTATCATAGATTAAATTTCACTAACATTGTAAAAAAATCTTTACACTCAGTATATATAACTTAAATCCTTATTTTAGATGAAGTACGTGATATTTCTTCTTTTTGTGATGTTTATGCTACCAGTTGTGGCACAAGATTCGTTTCAGGGCAATATTGAAGTATTATGTCATGTTAGAGAATCTTGAATGTATACTAAAAGGCTGACTATTGAGTGTTGGAATAATGCAGGTGCCAGAAGAAGCTAACCCCAATTCGTTTGGGATTAAGGCATACTTGTTGCAGTGGTAGATATACCTTTTTATATTATCAACGTAGCACTCCCTGCGGTCCACAATAAGTGATTTTTAAGGTTTTAGCACATTCATAACTCATTAAGAGAACTACTCCCTCCGGTCCTGCACAAAATGATATTATAGCCCTTCCTAATTTTGTCCAAAATATATGATTTTTTTTAAAAATTAGGAAGGTATTAATTTTTTCCCCAAAATTAGCTAATGATTGAACAAATTTCTAAGAAATCTTTCAACACTCTCTTTACCGAAATTAATGTTATTAATTACTCTCTCCGGTCCTATATAAGTGATTTTTAAGGGTTTGACACACCCATTAAGAAATACAAGTGATTTCTTAATGAGTGTGTCAAACCCTTAACAATCACTTATATAGGACCCGGAGAATGATTTTAAACATTAATTATGAGGGTTATTGATCAATTTACGCCATTCTACTCATAGGAAAGGTAAAGAAGTATTGAAAGAATTTTTTGAAATTTGTTCAAATCATTTACTAGACAAGGCTATAAATTTAGAGGAAAAAAAAAGCTAATGCCCTCTTGGGTTTCAAAAAATTCACTTATCTTGGATCAAATTTGAAAGGCTAGAATATCACTTTTTGTGCAATGTAGGGCATAATATTTGAATAATCTAAAGCGCTAAGTTAAGCAAGTATGAACTATGCTTATGTTAGATACTGCCATGACAGAGCTAGGCCCTGTCAATTTCATGGTAGTAACAGCTTAGCTGGTGTATGTATAACAATGAAGTTGGTGTTCCTGTTGTTATTGAGCGGATGACTTCATCACAACTGTATTTACTAAATACCTGCCTATTAGTTCAAGTGGCAAAGGTTGAGGGACATGTGACATAGCTCAAGCCCTGCGCCATCCGAACTAAGCCCGGTATTAATGTGGAGAAGGCTTGAGGGACGGACCCATTATCCCTGATTTTCGAAGCCCCTCCAAAAAAAACAATGTAGTAGTATTAACTTGGATGAGCATTTACTGAAGGTGTGTTAAGCATTAAATCTGCATGTCTGTCTAAGCGGTGTAATTTTTATTTCATATCATTTTTTATTGACATGAGTCACTTGCTCACTCTGATATGTTATTTTCTGTTTTCATGATTGATTGATGAGTATTATAGTTTATTAGTCCCTTTAGAACTACTACGAATTGTTTCTGCATTCAAATGTACTCAATGGTTGTGGTACATATTTCAAGCCCTTGCCGTGTATCTCGTTTTGCCTGATTATGTCTGTTTATTTTACCTTAGGATGATTCCCCACAAGACCAAGCGCGGGGCAGCTGCACTTGCCCGCTTGAAGGTTTATGAGGGTGTCCCACCCCCATATGACAAGATTAAGAGGATGGTCATTCCTGATGCTCTCAAGTGAGTTGTTAGCTGCAGATATAATTTATATATTCTTGTATCTTCATTCTTGTAACACTGAAAATTTTGCCTTCTTTGTTACTAGGGTATTGAGGCTCCAAGCAGGGCATAAGTACTGTCTTTTGGGCAAGCTTTCATCAGAGGTTGGATGGAACCATTATGATACTATCAGGGTAAGTTTCTTGTTCTTAGCCCTTTTCATATCCCCCTCCTCCTGTCTTCTCTTGCTATTTGGATATCTTTTACTTGCATATAAAGGAGCAAGATGTGGTAATCGTTGGCTATTTCGTATAAGAATCTTATATCAACATCATCTTAATGTTTTCAGTCAGTAAGAAGTTTTTCTATGTTCCCTGCTTTTCTGCGTAGCCCTTATTCTTGTAATTATGAGTGCATTAGCTTTAACAGCCGGGCTACTGTTTCTACAATTCGTGTATGTCAAGCTTACATGCTGGTAGTATTCCGTTTATTAATAAGAGTCTTAGTTTTCTGTTTCGTTATCAATTTTTCTTTTCTGGCGATTACCATGATCTTCACACAACTTCTTCTCCCTTGAAATTATGATTACAACAGGATCTTGAGAACAAGAGAAAGGAGAGAGCTCAGGCAACATATGAGAGGAGAAAGCAGTTGGCAAAACTTAGAGTTAAGGCTGAGAAAGCTGCTGAGGAGAAGCTTGGACCTCAACTTGCTGTTATTGCTCCTATCAAGTATTGAAGTGGGACATAGTCATTTGAAGTACCAATTTTGTTGAAGATTGATAATTTACCTTAATCTTACCTCTCTTTTTTCGTTACATTGTGCTCCTGAGTGGTTTATTTTCAGTTTAGCAGTAGACCCTCTTTCATTGTATTTGGTGATGGAATCAAATTTCATGCTTTTAGTGATACAGATGTTATCTCCTCAAATTTCATGCTTTTAGTAAGAACTGCATTACTAAGAGTCAAAACTTTTATGTTTAAGAATTATTTGAATAAATCATACTCAGTAAAGCAAGTGCTGACTTCTCAAATATTAATGTAAAATATATGGTAACTGGTAAAGTTGCTGCCATGTGACCAGGAGAAGGGGAGCATTAGCGTAATTGGTAAAGTTGCTGCCATGTGATCATGAAGTCAAGGATTCGAGCCGTGGAAATAGTCTCTTGCAGAAATGCAGGGTAAGGTTGTGTACAATAGATCCTTTGTGGTCCGGTGGATGGAAGGAGATTATCTTTTTACAACAAATGCTATCAATTTATATTAATTTAGATTGTTGAATGTAATTCAACTAAAAGGAATTAGAGAAAAGTTCATTCAAGTATAATCTTGTGCTCAAGCTCAGATCAAAGCCACTTACAGTGAATGAGAACCTTCTTTCACGTTAATAGCCATACCACACAACCCATTTATAACGCCCATACATTACTTTTTTTTACATTTTTAAAGCAATTCTTTTTTAGTTTCTAACACTATTGTTTCTCCACGTTTCACTTTTTCCTTATAAGTTTCCATTGTTAGACTCTAAAGTCAAATCTAAATTGTCAATCATATGTTCTATAAATGTTTCTAGTAATTAAAGTACTTGAGAAATAAACATTGATTCTTCAAAAAATGAGAAAATGAAATAAAAATGTAAGGTAACAGATTCTGCAAATCATTATAATTATTTTCTGTGACAAATATTCTTTACTTGGTCGCTTTTTATATTTTTACCTTCTGAGTCTCCAAAAAAAAGAAATATTACTCCATATATAGAGAGTTGTATTTAAGGGGTGATTTTAACTTGTTTTAAACTTGTTATTCAGCTTCAAGTTTTTTAATAGTATCTAATTTCCTTTCCCTTCCACTGATATTTTCTTGAAAATATGGCTTCTTTTTTCTGTAATACTCTTGTTTTTTTCTTCTTGGGGTTTGTTGAACTGGGAAATGCAAGATATGTTACTGGTTTTCAGCGGAAACAGCAGAAGATGAACTACAAAACAGTGTATGTGGATCCATCTGGACATGGCCAGTTCAAAACTATCCAATCAGCCATTGATTCTGTCCCTCAAAATAACCAGAATTGGATTTGTATTAACATCAAAGCTGGACAATATAGGTATCTCTTTACTGTCTTGATTTATGTACTACTCTTTTTTCGATTTAAGTTACATGCACTTACAATATATAGAATCTTTGCATTAAGGCAAACAAAGCATCCTGCATTCTCGCAGGATTCAGGGAATGACCGCACCCCAAGAGGTGTGATGTAAAGTTGTAAACAGCCTACCCTAATGCAAATATTAGTGATTGCTTCGATTGCTCGATTAACCTGTAGGTCACACGGATACAATTTTAGCGTTGCTCCGATGCATATATATAGAATCTTTACACTATCGGTCTATAGTTTAGGTTACCATATAAAGCTTGTTATGCATGAATGCTTACTTGTTATTGTAGATAAATTGTATATGGTAGCGTAAAAAATTCATATATATACTATCAGTTCATAGAACTTAAACTTATCATTTTTAATGAAATTGGATGTACTATTTTAGTATGATATTGTGATATTGCATGCAGGGAACAAGTGAAAATCCCTAGAGAAAAGCCATATATTTATCTTAAAGGAGGGGATCAAGGAAAAACAATTGTGACTTGGGATGCTCATGACTCAATTGCTACAGATGCTACTTTCACTTCAGAAGCTGATAATACAATTGTGGATAGCATAACCTTTATAGTAAGTAAAAAAAAAGACAGAAAGAATTTTCACAAGAGTAAATTTAGGGAGTGTTTGGTATGTCAGAAAAACAGTTTTTGGAAAATATTTTCTAAAAAATAACTCATTTTCTAGTATTTGGGTTCCACAAAATATTCTCAATGGATTAGTGCAGTAGCGTAGCAACATACAATAAAGGGTGGTCAATTGACCACCCTTTATAGAAAAATTATACTGCATACATAAATAAAAAATTACTTTTTATATATGTATATTAAATCTTGAACATCATTAGTGAAATTCGTGACTTTGCCATTGGATTAATGGAAGTCACAATTATCTCCAACTCTTAATTTCATACAATTTCTTTAACCAATACTCAGAAGTTTATTATCAATATTCTTTAATACTTAAATAGTTTATAATAATACTATTCGGTTCACTAATATTACAATCAGCCTAGATATTTTTTCCAAAAACTAAATAATTTTTGAAAAATTATTCTTCGGAAAATGACTTCTCACATATAATAATCACACTCGAATTTCTTAAAATTTCTAACCAAAGTTATGGTTGAGTTTAACATAAGGTCTTATATTTTTTTAACAAAATTATGTGACTTTAATCAGAATTCTTACAATTATCCTCCGAAAAGCAACAATAATCCGAGGGTGGTGGCGGTGGCGGCGATGATTTCCGGCGACAAGTCGGTGTTTTATAGGTGTGAATTTCTTGGATTACAAGACACATTATGGGATGTTCAAGGAAGACATTATTTCAAGCTTTGCACCATTGAAGGAGCTGTTGATTTCATCTTTGGTAATGGTCAATCACTTTATGAGGTGAAAATTACTTACCATTTTCTTATATATTTTTTTCTAATTTTGACTTGTTAATTAAGAGATTTTATTTCATGTTATTAATTGTAATTATTTCATGGAATTAGAAAAAAGTTACCTAAAAAACGGTGCATTTTAATAAAATAAAAAGAATACAAAGAAAGGTGCATATGCAATGGCCTAGAGATCTTAGCATGGCTGTCTCGAGCCCTAAACATTTTTGTAATTAAATAAATGGAATGAATTATTCAAAATTATTCAACACATGATAATAATTAATCCACTTTTGCAGAATTACTAGGTATATATGCCGGTGGAATTACTATAAACTGATTAGAATACACCACCGTCATAAGAATAATAATTAAACCACTTTTGTCTTGTGTTAACCATTGGATTTGATTGTTATAGGCTTGAGATAGAGAAATGACTTCTAAAAGCTACTTCTGGTAAACACTAAAGATATAATCGAGGGTCTATCAGAAACAACCTCTCTATTTTCACAACAAAGTAGGGGTAAGGTCAGCGTACACATGACTATCTTCATCAAATCCCACTTGTATGATCATACTGGATATGTTATTGTTGTTATAAACACTAAAGACCGTCATACATCGACTTTCAAGCCCAAGTGGCCAAGTCAAAACTTTAACCAATACCATGATCTCTTCAATCTTTTAGATGATACAATTAGAAAATAAAATCCAACATATCAGTTTTAAAAGTTGTATATATGCATTGTTTTATACTTTTTATCTAGTATATACTTTCTTATAATGGAACTATAGCATATATACTTTAATATTTTTATGTGCAGAGTTGTACTATATCAGTAAATGCAGGAGCACTAGATGGATTGGCAGGGTTTATAACAGCACAAGGAAGATCAAACCCTAAAGATGGAAGTGGTTTTGTGTTCAAAAACTGTAATGTTATAGGAAGTGGACAAACATTCTTGGGCAGGCCATGGAGAGAATATGCAAGAGTTATATTCTATGATTGCAATATGTCAAATGTCATCACTCCTGAGGGTTGGACTGCTGGAGTTTTTGTTGGCAAAGAGTAAGTTCCTATCTTTCTAATTTGCACTAAAGGGCTTCTCTTTATCACAACTTAGGTTATTTAGTTCTTTTTTTTCTTTTTTACTTTTAACCCTCCGGATTTATTGGAACTTAATGGTAAGACTAATCTAGATTCACGCTAACACGCTCCTTATCGAAAAATTCTCCATTCCCAAAAATACGAATTCGAGGCTTCTGGTGTTAATGATAGAAGAATCTCAATCATCTCACCATATCCTCTAGCGAGATTTGGGTTATTTGTAAAACATATACTCATTTATTTGAATATAAAATATAATAATGTGATTTACAA